GCTAAGAAATAAATTAGGCACTAAAATAATATAGAATGAACGATATTAAGTAGAGTTCATACTAACAAATTTACTTAAATTTTTTTATTTGTTATGAGTATATATAAATAATATTCCGCAACCAAGACAGAATACGTGGAAAGAATTTCCTTTTAAAAACTATCAGGAAGGAAAATATGTCTAAAATAATTTAATGAAGTACCACTAATAATTCATATTAATGTTGATGATAGGTCTTTTCTTTAATACAGTTATGCGATCTCCAACACAAAATATTTACTCGCATAACAACCCTCTAATCCATCATTCAATTAGGAAACACAATCGATTAACGTTAAAGTTTCCAGGTACTACGGTACAAATAAATATAATGGTAACTAAATTATTAAGAATTATGCGAGGATAATTATTATAATACATTATATGAATGTCATGTTGTACGAAATTTATTGTCATTATGTACAGATGTAAATGTTGTACGTACATCACTTTGATGTGCAAATTTGATACGTATTAGATGCCAAGAGATGTATAAACCATAGATGGCAAAACCTTATATACTGCATGATCACAAACACAAATGGCAAAACCTTATATACTGCATGATCACAAACACAAATGGCAAAATCAATTCAAAAATTCTTAAACGTTAGTTAATTAGGGGTTTGTTTTCCAAAATTTTAAATGATGCAGGGATGAATGAATTCAGGGAGGTTTTCTGTGTTTGAGAGAGAGTTTAAAGATACAATTATTAAAGTAGTGCATTTATGGAAGGCGCATTTAGGAAGATCTCTTTGTAGTTGACTTTGTTATTATTGAAATATATATATATATTAATTAATTTGATACCTAGGTCTTGTATGATTGTTATGAATCATTTTTGTAATATTCCGAGAATCATTTTAGAGAATCATTTTAGTACATTACAGGAATTTAGTGTGACATTAATTTAGGAGTTGATGACGTAAATTTATGGAGGTTGCATCTAAAGAAATTTACTGTAGTTATAATAAGTGTTTTGTTTTTATACTTCCATGGTTATATTACTATTAGTGATGCAGTAGAATCGCCCCAAAGATAGTTGTCACATTGCTGTAACTTGCCGTGGCTATAATGCCGTTACTTACTATATTACTTACTGTAGTTACGACAAGTACACTTCCCTGACATAAATTACCGGATTTTTCAAAATTGATGATGATCTTCCATATGACTCATTGTTGACAAAAAATTTTTTTTTCTTAAAACTTACTATACTTGCCCTTCAAAAATTTCTTTTACTGTTTTATTTGAACCCACTAGTGTGTCCATTTTTTTTTTTTTTTTTTTACTATGAAACAAAGGAAACAGCTTACCAACAAAAAATGTAATCAAATTATTGGTGCTTGGAAAACCAGTGTGAAACAAATAAGAATCACAAAAACCCTAAGACTTTCCAGAAGCATCATCAATGATGTAATAACATACCACAGAAAGGCTGGAAAAGTTGTATCCTCACCTCATCCTGGATAATCTCCTAAAGTAACTGAACATGATGTTCAACACTTAATCCATATTTTAAAAAAGAACAGAAAGATTATGCTAAAGGTTTTGATGAATAAATTTGTTAAAGCAACCTCTATAGAAGTATTTACATGAACTATACAACAGCATCTCTATAATAAAGGGTTTTATGGTCAGGTTGGTTTAAGAAAACCATTTATAGATGAGGAGTCTTGTATGGCTTGTATGAATTGAACAAACACAAAAGTAGGTTGGAATGAAAGGTATAAAAATGTTATTTGGAATGATGAATCGAGATTTGAAATGTTTAGAGATGATCATAAGTATGCTTGGAGAAAACCAAAAGAAAAATATGATATTGAATGTTTAGTTCCAACATTTAGGTCAGGAAGAGTAGACGTAATAATTTGAGAATGTTTTAGCATATATGGTCTTAGACCTTTAGTTCAGATTCATGACAGGATGAATTTGAAAGACTATGTAAAAATTCTTGAAACTTGTTATATACTGTATTTAAACAATTTAATAAATGTAATCGATCAAAAAAATTATATGTTTCAAGATAACAATGCTAAAATTCACACTTCCAAATTTTCCCAGAAATGGTTTGATGAAAATCATATTGTGCAACTTCCATGACCCTCATATAGTCCTGACCTCAATCCTATTGAACATTTGTGGGATGAATTGGAGTGTCATATACATAAGCACATTCCTCTACTAAGTGATGAGTCAGAACTCTTCAATTTGCTCCAGGAAGAGTGATTTAAAATCGATGGTTCAATTTTAAAAAATCTTGTTGAAAGTATGCGTCGATGTATTCTTGCTGTAATTGCCGCTAACGGGTACCCTACACAGTATTAAATTATGTAAATAAAATTTATATATATAATTGCTAAATAAAAAAATTTTGACTCGAATTAATATGTAGTTTGTTGAGAATTCACAAAAAATCCGGTGACTTATGTCAGGGGAGTGTATGACTATCATTGGGAGGATTCTACGCATCATTAATTACTATGAGGACGACACTTTCGTACATTTGTTAAAAAAAACAAGTTTTTTTATATTTTGACCTTTACAACATACAATACAGCAATAATAAATAATCACATGATGCACGTTTTATGATATATAAAGCCCGAGTTGAAATGCTTACTACATAACCAAAGAGAACCATCTCAATTATTAATATTCATTTCTCAAACAATATGCTTAACTTTAGATTCACTTCCCTTCTATTTAACACTATTATCCTTTTTTCCAACATTATTAACGCTCAACATTTTATAGGAAGACGAGATGCTCAACCTGTTAGTGGTTTAACAATATCTAGTCCCGGTATTAACTATATTTCTTGATAAATGTTCTTTTATTATGCAAATTATCCAATGAATCTAAATTGTATATTTTCGATGAGTATTTGTAATGGAGGGTTTCAGAATTAATGATTTGGCATCCGATTTAGATAAGAGCCGTATTTGCGTCAAAACATGTGATCCATAATTCTTATTTTTTTTATGTATAAACTTGATTACATAATCGTTTACCGGTAGACATTTATCAAATTTTATTAAGGCGGGTGCCTATTTAATTCTTGAGTCGCAATTTTAAAAATATAAGTAGAATCACTTATTTCGAAATAAGTTTAATTCTGAAACCCCAATATATTTTCAATATATTTTTTTTACGCATTTACTCTTACTTATCGAGAAAAAAAATTTAATATCTCAGGTGGTGATTTGCACCATACAATTTTTAAGAACTTAATACTGATATATTAAATACTTTATTAAATAGCTGCTGGAAGCAAGTTTTCCTCTGGAGACAATCTCGATATTAGCTTTTGCTCTGATACTTTAATATCGAAATTCTGACTGATATTACATTAAAACGTGAGAAAAATATTTTTTTAAATTCATCAATATTTTGCATTAATTTTTTTGAAAATAGTATTTATAAAAAAATTCTCCTCAATTTTAATAGCAAATAAATGTCAAACTCTTACTTATAAAATCCCACAAAATATCCCACCTGATGCTCGATACACTGTTATAATCACATATAATAATACTGCTCCAATATCTGGATCTTTCTTTATTAATAATCTGGATTTCGGATTAGTTATTACTAACCCAAAAAGTAATACCGATTCTAAGGTATAGAGCTTCTATATATATTAAATTTAATAGGAAATTAATTTTTAAAAATTTTTTTTTTAGTGTGGTGATGAACTTAAAGTTAAATGGGAAGATCGTAAGTAATTTATATCTAATATTGCTATTCTACTGTAAACTCCCATTATTATCTTTTTAAACTGTTTCAAGTTTGAATACAGTATTCAATAAATATCAAGATCTTGATCTTGAGATTGTTCTTACAACAGTTGAGGCTCCCTATATTATTAGTTCACTTTCCTCTGTACCAGTTTCTTCTGGTGAACAAATTTTTACAATTCCTCAAGGAATTGAAAATCGTAGAGATCATGATATTGTTTTTCGAGTAAATCGTACTGATGAGCTAGGCACAGAAGTTTATGTTTCAACATTTACTATTGACGGCTGCTGATTATAAATCATAGGAGTTCTTTCAAACATTAATATAATGTTATTATTTACTATTACTAACAATATTATAGATATATCATTTATCGTGTGAATGGTCGTCATCACATCTTGTTGCTGTAGAATTATAGACCTACTTACAGTTAATTTAATGTATGATGTTGATTTAAACCTTTGTATATTTACTATTCAGTATTTAAGATTCTTTATACGATATTTATTCTTTAACATTTAAGACTCTTTAACAAAGTTTGAGTAATAGTTGAAAATCAAGTCAATAATAGTCTTGAACTACTCCCTTTAGGTTATGATTATTTGAGATTATTTTTTAAATTTGGTTTTCTAACGTTGTACGTATTTCTAAAAGGGTCCTTAAAAAAGTTACCTTTTGATGTATTTAGTGTTACCTTTTTGATACAGTTAGGGTTAATAGGTTATTTAGATATCAAGAATACAATTTATGCAATATGTAGATCAAAAAATATATGAAATCTGCCCGCTTTAAGGACCTATAAAAAGTATCATAAAAGACAATTCCTTACTTTCATACGTATCTGTCCGATTATTATCGTTATGTTATTACTACCTTTTATATTTGTATTGTCATAACTATGTAAATCTCACCTTTAGTACGTAATATTATCCATTTTCGTTATACATGTAACTGTGTATATATTAGGTCTATAATATATATGTTGTGCATCAAATTAAAATATGCATCAGATTAAAAATATCCAACATAGGCACTCACCCTAATCATAATAAAACTTTGCACTTAAATATTGATCTGATGCTCAATATATATATGGATGTGTTTTACTTTTAGTCATTATCTAATGCATACTCTTTTAAATGGTTCTAAAATAAAATTACACTCTTTTCTATCATAAAACACTAATGATCATAAAATACAAGTTCCTTATCTCTCATCACTCATCAGGTTCTGCATCTTCTCTTATGTTAACTATCAGAGTTAAACTTTGCATGATTGTCATACAATAGTTACTGTACATATTTTAAACCAATTAGTTTTTAAATACTGTAAGGATTAGGGATATTGACGGTTGATTACGGTCAGTTTCGGTCGGTCATCATTGGTCATGAGTCATGACCGTACACATGAAGGGTACTAGTACTGGTCACATTAAATATTAAGACAGTATTTTAGATAATATATGCTCATATGTACAAACACAGGTGCAATAGTCATATATATATAGTATGAAAAATGCATGTAAAAAATAGGCAACATATAACAATTGTGATGAACAGGGTCATGCATACCAATCAAATGCTGAGAATTGTACAGACACATTAACTTGCCTGTAAACCATACACTATGTACTCTGTTCTTGGTATATACATTTATTTATTAAACATCATTTAGCTAATTTGGTTAAATTTGTATGTATATATATAACAATAATTTTGCATAATTCATATAGTCAAATCTATTTTTTGCATCATGATAATTATTTTACAGATTGTTACAATGATAAATAGCAAAATATAGTATCAGTCAAACAGTCGGTTTGGTCAGTCAGAATTTATGACAAACTGGTATTGGTCACTAAGGTTGGATATATTGGTTTAGGTTCAGTTTTTGTTCCAGAACTTTTAGATTTCATTTTGTGAACCAAAGAACTTAGTTTCTAAAAACTTGATTCCAAACCTGATTTAGTTCGGACTAAGTTTCAGAAACTAGTTTTAGAATCTAGTTCAAAAGATTAAGTTCTATAATATTTTATTTTTATTCAGTTTTTAAACAACTTTAGCAGATTTATAAATATAATAATTAATTGCATAACATATAAGCTTTATGTAAATATTTAATCTCATATTTCTATAACAATAATTCAAATATAACAAGAGATTATAAAGGACCGCTGCATACGTCTGTACTTCACTTTTTGACACTTTCCTTAATCCTATGTTTGATAACTAGTAGTTAATATAAACTATACTGGTCAAACTATGGCAAGCCACAAAATCAGTAATTAATTTGGCTGTTAAGCCCACTATGGAAATTTTAAAGTTTCGCTTCGTCTTTTCGCTTTTTGCATTTTTAAAATATTTTATCCAATCAGGTTTAAATCTCCGTAGTGTTATATATCGCAAATCATTTCTATATTCGGAAATGCCATATATGGAAAATATCCCTGACTGAGTATTGTTACTGGGAGATCGGTCGGATAACACACCCACAAACAACAAAGAAATGCGACGAATTGTCGCTTCAGAATTGAATATGCCGCGTAACGTTCCTCAACGTTTTAGAGGCGGCACTGGCCTAAGACGATAATTGAGGAGCGGTATAGAGATAAGGTAAATGGATGGGCTTTTAAAGAACGTTTACTTTGGTATTTTGGGTCTTTTATTTATTTATTATTATTTTATTTTACTTTTTTGTAGGGCTGGAAAGGCACACTCCTTTGTTCCAGTGAAATGACATCCTTTTTATACGGATTTTACAGAGAAACAAGAACATTTTCGAATATTTAGCTATTGCGCTAACACATTTTCCCCATTATCTTAAGCCCTTTTATAGCTTTAATACTAAGTTTAATTTTACAAAGGCTTAAGGAAGTAATAAAGGCGCTTTTGTAAAGAAATTCTAATGTCTCCTCTGATTTGCTACTAATGATTTCATTGAAATTAAAATATGAGAATTTTTTACTTGTCCGCACTAACATTTTAGTTAAAGAAATTTCTATTGGTTCAACTATGTTATTGTATTTTTTACATATTTTATAATATTCATTGTAATGAAATTCATATTCTTCAGGGTAAAGATAATGTATGATTCCTTTTTTTAATTTATAAATATCAATGTATGTATTATAAGATGTATATTTAAATAAGAGTTTTTGATTATTGAAAATGGATATATTTAATGGAATCAATAGAGCCTGTTCTTCAGCATTTAATGATAAAAGGTATATGCTTATAAGTTTTCTATCGTTGCAGTACTTTAGTGGTTCATTCC